GACATGGCTCTTTCACGAAAGGGCAGTGTGTTTGGAATGTGTTTCTCGAGCTAACATGTTCATCCCCAGAGTTGTTAGTTTATCTGTTGTGACCTGATTTAATCTGTATTGACTTGATCTAACTTGGGTCATGCACGGATGAATTGTTTTTGAGATCTCGCCCTAAACTGAGAAGCATGTGGGGAACAAGGCGCTGTGGACATGCTGGTGCTTGCCAGGACATTAGTCTGGAAGCATGCTACTGAGAAAATAATGGAACTTCGACCCTGTGTATGTATATGCCACACTTGGAGCAAGCCAGGGGATGGAAATCTGGTCTACAGCAGCACCTTTGAGCCATTTCTCTTTGAACAGCCTGTGTGCTTGGCTCCCTGCGTTTCTCTAAGAAACAAGGTCACACCAATGGGCAGATGCCTTACAGTAGTGGAGACCAAAAGAAATCGAGCAATTTGAGGATTCAGATCGTATACATTTTTGCCAGTTACCAATTTATTGCCTCTTAGCTCTAAATCCGTCCTTGTTTGGCCTGCTTCATGATACTGAAACGGCACCCTGCAAACCTTTCTCCTCTGTCAGCAAGCGCAGTGTCAGGCTTGGTCAACAGAGGATGCTGGAGAGACAAGCAAGGTACGGACGCCAGTGGCTTCTCTTCCTGGGTCAGGTGCTTCTGCACTCCTGCAGCAGCGTGCCTAGCAGCTGTGTGCAGGAGGCCAGGGCGCTCCCTCTCAGGACATTTCTCTACCACCCAGAGGCGGCATCCTGCCAATCAGTTTTACCTGCGGGCACTCCCTGGGGAAATTCTGGCCACCTGGTGGGTGATTTCGTAGACCATTTCTGGTCCATATGCACAGCCTACTGAGTTTCTCAGCCAGCTGGCAGGATGCTTTACAGACACACTGCAGTCCAAAGGAGCCTCTGTAGTGTGTCACCAAGACAGATGCATGTTCTCCAACAAGAGCTGAACCTCAGGTTTTGTGGGGTGAGGTCTCCTCTTCCAAGTTCTTAGTTGCTGTCTTGTCTGCCCTCCCTCAGCCTAAGAGGGAGAAGCTGCGACCTAGGTTTACGACGCCTGTATTCCTCAGGGTCCTTCTTTACCACCTTTTTTAGCCAAAACATCTTTCAGCTTTTCCTGTTCAAATGACCGGCATGGTTTCTGTCTCCTGACTGGGTCCTACAGGCACAACACTCTCCCCACTTCCTTTGTTAAGGGAATAAATGCTTGGATTTTTCAGAGCTTATGTAAAGGGATTGTGTGGTTTTCTAGTAGATGCTACATTTCAAATGGCTCAGTTTTTGCTGTGACTGGACTCAAATTGAAAATGAAACTAAGACTGGAAACACAAATATGAGGGCAGTAAAGCTCAACATAACTCGAAAGGCCTGGAATGGAAGAAAGGCTTTGTCTTGACTCCTGAATGCTCGTGGAACAAGCCAGCATGTGTTTCACAGAAAGGTCTGAGACCGAGGCAGGGCCATTTTTTCTCATTCAGTGTGTGAACTTGGTCTGCAAAGCTATCCTGAGGAGTCTGCTACAGTTGAAGCACTGTTCAAAAGTGACATGCTATGTTTGTCACAGCTCGATGTCTGCCCCTGGGCCGCCACTGGGTGATGTCTGGCAAGTCTGTTCAGCAGGCATTCCAAACTCCCTGCCTGCTCAGCTAGAAGCGAGGGGGGGAGGGCAGGGGGCGGGGGTGGGGCTGGGATCCACGGCAATACCTGTCTGGGCTCTTGGCTCTGGCCATGGATAACAAACTGAGGCCAGGTACCGTGGGGTGCTGCCACGCCTGGGAACCCATCAGTGTCACATCAACAGGCCCCAGAGCTGCACAGAGGCCACAGGGAAGCCACTGAGACGTGCCCTCCTGGGCTAGAGTGTGCGTCCATTGCCAGTGTAAACACTGCCTGTTTTTTAAGCCTGTTTTGTGTTTGTTTACTAATTAATGAAACTGAACACAGATGGAGCACACTGCCGCGTTCCTTCTCCACTAACCAATCCTCACCTGCTCTGTTTCCTGCGCCCTTTCCCACCGTGCCCTCAGGAGTAACCATCCTCACTAACAAACAACCCTCGGGTCCTCTTCCTGGTGTCCACTCATTTTCCAGGCTCCCCCTACACCTCTGATGTGAACGCCAACGCCTTATCCTGGGTCCCCTCTGCCTGTACTGAGAGCCTTTTTCCAGCAGCGTCCTTATCACACAGGATGACAGCAACCCCTTGCCTCAAGGCCTCCCTCTCCATCCCAAGACCCAGCCCCGCTTCCTGCTCTCCTCCTCAGCTTCCTCCCCACTCCATCACCTGCTCACTCCACCATGGCCTGGCTTTCAACACGCTCTCCCTGCATCCTATTCTACTCAGACAGCTGCAGCCAAAGGTAACATGTGATGCACTGATGGCAGGGCCGTAGGAAACTTCTCAGTCCTTCACTTCTCCATTTCATACTCCCTTCCACACCCTCACTGGGAGGGGTCCAGCCCCTTTCTCATGAATGTACATCAAGGGACATCTGCTGGGGCATCCAATGCCTGCTTAATTCTGAGATTCCCTGTGAATGGATTTGACAGCGATGGTACATACAGAATGGTGGATGGGAGCAGTTTCAGATGTACTGCCAGCTTTGAGTCTTGGCTCCATGGGCATGATTCTGTTATTCTCGGCCACAGTAAGTTAGCCTGGGTAAGTTATAAAGATAAACTTATCGGCTATAGTAAGTTATCTGACCTCACTGTGCCTTAGTTTATTCATTTGTGAGATGGGAATAATAATGGTATCTCCATCTTAGGGCTATAGTAAGCACTGAATGAATGCTACATGCTGGCATATGATAAGCACCCAGTAAGGGCAGGCTGTACCATTACTACTGCTGTCACCTGTGTGTGAGATGGTTCGAAGACAACTGTAAAAATGGCAGCTGAACCTGGAGCCCCATCTGTGTTGAGCCTGTTCATGGCCATCAGTGGTGCAGTGGCCTCAGCTCAGGGCTTTGTCCTTCCTGTGTCCCATCTCCATTTATACTTCAGGGCCTGGCATTTGTTTAGTGGAGACTAGACGCGGAGCTAAAGGCACTGGATGGTTGGGGCAGGGAAGTGGCCTGCCCACCTGTCTTGTCACAGCCACAGTGGGACGCTCTAAGACCTTACCAGGGTTGCGAGTTAGTTCTGCTCCAAAGCCTCTGTCGCCCCATCAGACAGAACAAGTGTCCTGGCCCGCAGCCACAAGGGTCCTCATGCAGACCACAGCTGTTACATCTGCACACAACCCTGCCTGCATCCCTTTACCTGTCTGTCTCCCTGCCTCAGTCTCTGGACTGTGCTCTTCTCTGGGTGAGGACCAGGTCTCCTGCCTTCTGTTTTTCAGTGCTGATTCGGGCCCTGGCACTGCAGGTTCTTTGAGATCAGTGCCAGGTGGCCCGTGGGCTTCTGGAAAGGACTAGGTACCCAGGGTGCCCTGAGTCTATGAGACCCACCTTCAGGAGGAGACAAAGGGGTCTCTCTACACCCAGGTGAGGAAGTGGATGTGGAGAAGGATCTCAGGTGACTGCAGGAAGGTGGATGCTGCCCTGGGAAACAGGATTCTGAGCTCAAGGTGGTAACTCTGCTGAGTGCCTGGCTGACTTGAAAATAACCACCATGGGGCCTCTCCTTCCTGAAACAGTGCTTCCAAACGTGGTTCCAGTGAATCACGTGGCAAGAATACTTAACAGGCAAACAGGAGAACACGCTGCAAGTAGATGGGACAGAGGTTGGAGGGACAGGCATGGCATCAGGAAGTGCTGTGCCCCAAGACCTTGGGCTGAGTGGGGTGGACGTGCGGCTGTTAGCAGAGGAGGTGGGGGCGGTGGGCAGCAGATGCCAACTCTCCATTATGGGCTAGGGGCTCTGCACGGCATTCTACTTTCTTTCGTGTTTTTGCTTTTTCAGACAGGCTCTCACTCTGTCACCCAGGCTGGAATGCAGTGGTGTGATCATGGCTCACTGCAGCCTCAACGTCCTGGCCTCAAATGATCCTTCTACCTCAGCCTCCTGAGTAGCTGGAACTACAGGCACGCACCACCACACCTGCCTAATTATTATTATTATTTATAGAGACAGGATTTTGTCATGTTGCCCAAGCTAGTCTTGAACTCCTGGGCTCAAGTGATCCACCACCTCGGCCTTCCAAAGTGCTGGGCTTACAGGCCTGAGCCACTGTGCCCAGCCTGCACGGCATTTTTCATATGGCTGATGGACAAGCAACTGTAATGGAAGCTTGTAACTTGCCACGGGGAAATTCAGGTGTATGGGCCCAGCTTCACGCTAATCTGAGGAATCAATTCGGTAGAGAAAAGTTCCATGAGCCACACTGCTGGGTGTCACCCAGTGACCTCACTGTGAGAAAGCAGGCAGCAGCTTGGACTTCTTACCAGGACCGTGGGTCCCTTCCGAGCCTGTCCTGAGTAGAGTGGAGCCCTGGCCCTGGGAGACATGCTAAGGAGGTCTCTAAACACACAGAGAGTGGAGAAGGCCTGGGATCCTCAGAAATGCACGGGACACAGCGGTTCCTTAGCCCTCTAAGGCCTGAGGCCCCACTAACAAGGCTACGATAGGTGTTTTTAATATTTAAAAGAGAGAGAAAACTTTACAGGGTGATTTATGCAATTGATTGTCTCTATAGCTCTGCTCTAGTTTCTTGAAACAAGCCTACAATGTTTTTGACTTGGAGGACCTGAAAATCCTTGCCAGGGGCCATAATGGGTTAAAATGTATTCAGATCACATCACACACAAAAACACAGTCCCAGTACCTTGAAAACGATAACGTCAAATCACAAAGCCAAGGCCTAAGACCCCGGTCTCTTAGCATCACCTTAGGCCCCCCCAAAGCCAGACAGAGAGGAGGCACTCGGAAACCTCCAGACCTTGTTCTGGAACCCGAGAGCTGGGGCTCAGCCTCCTGACTTCAGGATGTTCAGAAAGTGTTTTTGCTGGCTTTCTCAGAACCTCTTCCCCTCGTTCCGCACCTACCGAACCCCGGAGTCCTGTTGGCAAGACTGGAGTAGGCGTTCCCGCTTGGCGAGGAGGTAGCTGGGCTGGAGAGGGGGCTGTAGGAAGAGGGGTCTGCTGGGTAGCTGTGGCTCGTTCCAATCCCAAAGGGAGACGACTGGGTCTTGCTGGACTGAGATGGGAGTTGCTACAATCAGGACAAAGCAGAGATGGAGAGCATCACCAGCAGACCCCCACCCCCACCCATGCCCCAGGCTGGTCACAGGGGCAGTACCTGCTCTGGGTTGATAGTGACTCCCCATGGCCCTCTTCTCTGGCTGGGCACAGGCCTGGGATCGGCCCCGTGTGTGAGGCTCAGGAACTGCGGGATGTTTGGGGCAGCGGGCCTGGGATTGGCCCCGTGTGCGAGGCTCAGGAACTGCGGGATGTTTGGGGCAGCAGGCCTGGGATCGGCCCCGTGTGCGAGGCTCAGGAACTGCGGGATGTTTGGGGCAGTGGGCCTGGGATCGGCCCCGTGTGTGAGGCTCAGGAACTGCAGGATGCTTAGGGCAGTGGTTGAAGTTACTCCCCAGGGCTACAAGGATCCGAGCCCTCTGGCATCTGGTTACCAAGACCTTGGCATTATGAACACCCAGAACTCCCTCAGCCCAATCAACACCTATCCTTAAAGTGACTATGAGGGGGTGGAGGGTGTCACAAGGGTGGGTGTTTTCATGCCTTTCTGGAGCAGGAGTAGCCAGAGGTCCAGAGTAGTGAGGGGCTCATTCATGATGGAGGGGCTCTACCTGCACTACCTTTTCCTGCCAGCTGCCCCAGGGCACGGCTGTAAAGGGAAAAGGCTGCTGACGTCGCATGCGGTGTGGCTCTTGGAGTGCCCTGAGGGTGGCTGGCACTCCTGAGTACCCAGCTGCTGTTAGGGTGGTTGGTGCCAGCTAGGAGCCAACCAATTGCCGGAACCGCAATCCCAACAAGAAGGCATTTCCCGGAATGCTCTGCCTCCTCGGCACCCAGGGGAGAGGCCCTCACGGATGCCCATACCTGTCCCGGAAAGGGCGGACGACTCCCTGTCCACGCCACCTGACTCTGGTTTAGCTGCCGGGAGATTTGGGACATGTTCTGGCTCGTGGAAGAGGAGGACTGAATATCATTCACTCCAGGCACGTGAACCACGGAAGAGCTAGAAAAAGAGGAAAATGCGTTTATCCCAAGGAAGCCTTTGGTGTGCGTGAATCCACTTGCCTAGGCAGCCACGTCATCCGCCCTGGGCCACCTTCCTGGCTCTCCATGCAGCATGCCACTGTGTCACTAGAGCAAATGACTAACACATGGTGAGCCTCAGAGCCCCTCGGCCATCCTCCTCTCCCTGGAGGGCTTCCTCCGCCCTGCTGAGTCGTCCTGCCATGGCTGCTACTTCCTCTCCCCGTTCTCTGGGCTCTCCCGCTGACTCCTCAGCCCCTATCCTATGCCTGTGCATCCTCTGCTCTCAACAGATGATTTGGTTCCCAGAAACAGAGAAGCTTCTTAGAATAAAAATCAGTCTCGGTGTTCACTCACTCCTTTGTGGTCTGGTTAATTTGTTCCTTTGGGGCACTCAGGGGGCTTAAGGATTCAGGAAATAGGTTGCAGGCTGCCAGTTTTAAATGGAAAAGCTTCTCAATGAACACCTGCTGGATGGGGTCTAGTCCTGCTACCCAGAGTTTACTCTCCCACCTTCAGTTCACCTTCGACTTAACTTAATGCGTCTTTATTAGGCCCCTGCTGTGTGCCCCGCTCTCTGCATGCCCTTTGCAGGCTCAATCTCTGACCCGGCTTAGCTCCTCAGCAGGCACTGTCTGTACCGCCAGGCACTTCTTCCACGAGGTTTTCCAGGCTATGTCGATTACACGAGAAGCTCATCAAAGACTAAAAGGCTGGGGGCAGGCTTTTACTTTGTGTCAGGCCCCTCCTCCTGCCTCCTTGGGATGAGCTCAGCATGCAGGGTAGTATGCTGGGTGCCCATGAATCCATCAGGGAGGGCAGAATGGGGCTCATCACAGAAGGCTTTTGGTCCAGGTGGATTTTCAGCTCCGTGTTAAAGGCAGGCGAGAGACTGGCTACAGTTTTATTATTGTATTCTAATAAGTTTCCTATGCCGTCTGAGCCCTTTCAAAACAGGGAGAAACCAAGAATGTCAGAGACGTTCTTGTGCTGATTGTTGTAAAACAGTTCAGTCGCTTATATAAAGGGGCCACCATTTCCATCTGTCTACAATCAATTCCTCATTTAACATAAGGGCTCCTTTCCCATTCTCCTCCCTGATGAAAGTATTGCTTCACAGGACATTTTCTGGTCACTAATGTCTAGTAGAGAGCCCTCTCCCACAGACCCCCAGCCCTCGGTGTCCTCCCCAAAACACTGATGGATGAAGGCTGCTGTAGCACTGACGGCCAGTAGGAAAGGCTCCTTGGCTGAAAGGGACGGGCTTCTTGGGGCAAAGGGCCAGCCCTTCTGTACAGCCCTCCCTGGGGGCCTCTGGGCTACAGCTGCCTGCCTTAGTACAGACAGGCAGTGGTCAAAACTGGTGGGACCAGAGCAAAACTGGTGGGAGGGCTATGGGTGAGGATGCACTCGGGGTGCCAGCGGCACCATTCTGCAAGCGACCCAGGGCTCCCTATGGCTGTGCTGGGCCTCAGGGTCCTTCATCCCACAGCCTAGCATGTCCCAAGCCAGCTCAGACCCTTCAGACTTGTAGGAAATTCTGCCCATTCCACAGGCTTTAGCCCCTACAGGGATTCTTTAATTCACGGAGTCACTTACTCACTCATTTTACAGACTAGTGCTGGGCAAGTGCCTCCCCTATGCCAGGCTCCGCGCAGGCGCTCGGACGCTCCCTGGACTCCTTCCCCATGCTGCCAGCTGTCCCATCGCTCATCACTGCCCCGTGTACCCTACATTTTGGGTTCTGTGACAACGGCCTCACTCAGGCTCTGTGCTTCGCGCTGGACCGTCCGCCCCAGCAGTCTGCAGCCTCAGCCTTCTCCCAAAGGCCATCAGTGACAGTGTCCTCCTCCGCAGCATGGCCCCCATGGCCGCTGCAGTCACATTCTCTGTTTCTCCCATGAGTGGGGCCTCCCCCAGCAACGCCTCTTCCCAGCCTTCACCAGCACACTCCTCAGGCCCCTGCACCTCTGCCCTGGTCAAGAGGCAGAACCTGACTTTTGCTTTCAGACCTAGCTGAAGAGTCCTGCCACCCTGGACTGTCCCTCACCTTTGTACTGTGTCCTCCTTGTCCCTGCTGCCGCACCTTCCCTGATCCCCTCTGTCCAGAGTGGAGGACAAGCAGCAAGTGTCACGAGGACCCCCTGTACCCGGGCAGGGCTGGCACTGGGCGTGGCATGGACTGATGTCAATGCGTGCTGAGTAGCTGAGTAACTCAGCGGCCAAGAGACGTCTGGAGGGCTTGAGTATTGCTCAGCAGAGCAGCGCCAGCTGCAGTGATGATGGCTTAGGGGCCGCTGACTGACAGCTGCCGTCTTGTTTTCTTGTTTGCTGTCCCCAGAACAGAGCCGCTGCCTGTAGCCAGAGCTTCCCAGAAGCTCAGAGCAGGGTACAATTCAGCGAGACTCCGCTGCAGACGTGGCCAGAGTCATTGCTGTGTTGCTAATCTTGGCAATGGCTGCTGAGCTACTTGCTGCTTCTCCAGGAGGGCGGCCACAAAGCAGCGTGGAAGCAAGACCCGCATTCCTTGTGGCTGGGGCAGTCCCTTGGCAGGGCCCTCTCTCTGGGTGGAAAACCCCACCTGCCTTCCTGGTCTGTGCCTGCATCTGGAAGCTGTGCTTAGGCTCTGGCCAACCTCATTGGAGGAGCCCTGCCCTGCTGGGCATGGGATCTGAGATGCTTCTCCTAGGAAATCGAGGGTGTTTGGTGGGCACAGGTGAGTGCCCACACACCCTCCCCAAGAGCTGTCAACCTCTCCTCTGGCTGCTCTTACCAGTGTATGCTCCTGGCTCCAGAAGTTAGCAGAGCCAGGCCTCACCTCCAGCGATGGCGCGAGGGCTTCCTCAATGACCTACCAGATGCCCCCGATGCTAAGAACCACGCCTTGGGAAGGTTGGACACCCTGCCTCGAGTGCCCTTTAGGATGAGGCCCAGGGATGATGGACTGAGCTGCCCACTGTTCCTTCGACTTGGCCGTGGCCTCTGGGTGGCAGATGGCAGGATATTCCTGGTACCTTGTCAGCTGTACCCAGCCCTACCTCGCTTGGGTCCCAGCTAGAGCGAACTCACTCCTCTCTCCCAAACACTGCTACAGAATACAGTGGCTGGTGCTGTTCACATCCAAGAAAGGGTAACTGACACCAGGAATCTATGGCAGCTCATGGAGGGCTCACAGAGCAGAAGCAGAGCCACCAGAATCCACGGTCTCGCCCAGGACCTGAGCACTGGTAACCACCAACTCATGCTTACGGCTCACAGAGCTGGGTTCTGAGACCCAGGGCTTTCTTGGCAAGGGAGCACCTTTCCACGCCACTGTCCCCGTCGCTGGCACGTACCTGAAGGCCTTCCCAGAGTGTCCAGAGGGAAACGGGCTTCCTTGGGAGTAGATCTGCTGGGTCCCTGCCGCAGAGGCTGAGCTCATCATCTTCTTCTCCGCTAGGAAAAGCAGAGTGGGTGTTATATGCAAAGGTTCCCTGCTTTGTAGACCACTGAGGTGGCCGCCCCGAGAACAGGGGCAGGATTGGGCACGGGGACAGGAGGACGGGATCAGGGCAGTCCACCTGCACACAGCCTCCTCGGCCTTGCCTCTCCTCCTGCCTCCTCCTCTCCCCTGGAGCCTCCCTGGCATGAGGGCACTGGGCTCTAGTTCTTAATCCCTAGGCTAGGCCACAGGCTGCTTGAAGAGTGGGAAAGATGAACAGAATGAATGAGGCCAGGTGCGGTGGCTCACATCTGTAATCCCAGCACTTTGGGAGGCTGAGGTGAGCAGATCGCTTGAGGTCAGGAGTTCAAAACCAGCCTGGCCAACATGGTGAAACCTCATCTCCACTAAAAATACAAAAATTAGCCAGGCGTGGTGGCGGGCATCTGTAGTCCCAACGAGTCGGGAGGCTGACACAGGAGAATCGCTCGAGCTCAGGAGGCAGAGGCTGCAGTGAGCCGAGATCACGCCATTGCACTCCAGCCTGGGCAACAGGGCAAGATTCTGCCTCAAAAAGAAAAAAATTAATGAGAGTTTGTTTTATCCAATCTTTCCAACTCTGTGAGGTAGGGATTCCAGGTCCTCTAGCTGTGGGTGAGAAAACTCAGGGTACCCGTGAAGAGGATGGGCTCTGAGCTCAGCTCTCTGGGTCTGCAATCCAGCTCCAAGGTAAGAGGTGCAACCTCAGACTGTTATTTACTCATCCCCTGCCTCAGTTGCCCATCAGAAAGAAGGTGAGAATAATCGTACCTTCCCCAGAGGGCTGTAGGGAGAATTCAGTGAGTTCAAACAATTAAAAGTTTGCTATTGTTTGTTACAGACGAGAAAAGTGAGGCATGGCTTGTCCAAAGCCCTGAGCTGGCGAGAGAGGGCCAGGACATGAATGCAAGCCCAGAGGTCTTCCCACTGCCCTGGAACTCGACTACCCCTGACATCCTCAGCCAGCAGGTGCCGCAGCAGGTGAAGTCCAGGGCACAGCCCCAGGCCTGTGTGTCTTGGCTTTCCACTAGGGTTTCTTTGAGAGGCTGAGCTCCTCTAACACTGAAAACACGCAGCCCCTGGCCAGGAGGTGCAATAATGCATGATTTTCTGCCACCGCGGAATGGGGAGCAGAGTCGGCTCCCCCACAGGAAGAGGCTGAAGAAAAAGGCTCAAGACCCTGCTGGCTGTTTAGCTCTTACATGAGGAAGAAGGTGCTTTGTGTGGTGGTTTGGAGTGGGAGCACGAATGGTCACAGTGTGCTAGGCAGCAGGCTCCAGTGTGACAGCTGTCCCTCCTTTGGTCATCGAAGGTGCCCAGGGCTCTCTGAAATGCCCTCTCAGTGCCCCAGAATCTTCAAATGTCTGCCCATCTCATCCCTCTAAGATGTTCACCGCAATGAGATATTGGAATAAAGGAAATAAAGGTCAGTTACACGGCGATTATTTTGCACCCAGGCAGCCCCCATGTCTGCTCCTGTCTCTGGCTTGCTGGTGGTGATGGGGGGCCGAGTGGGTAGGTGCTTCTGCGTGGTCATGAGCAGTGATGGACACTCAGGCTCATGGGCTTGGGGTCCAGAGACCAGGCTGCTGGGACCACGTGCTGACTCTCCCATGCACGGAGACGACTTCTGTGAGGCTTTAATAAAAAAGAGCCACCGAGCACTTTTCACGGTCCCTTTCCTTCCGCTGCAGTGACCGCTGTAAGGCAGTGGAAAATCCTTACAGGATGGAAGGAGCTTGGGCTCCTGGGCATGTCCGTCTAACCCAATCATAACATCTTGAATCTTGGGAATAAAGAGCAAGATTGGCGTAGGGGAGAGCTGAGGCTCAACCTTGCAGGAAGAAGGCAGACTTAGGTACTTCTCCTGACTCTCAACTTAATGCAGGCTGGGTGCAGCGGCTCATGGCTGTAAACCCAGCACTTTGGGAGGCCCAGATGGGCAGATCACCTGAGGTCAAAAGTTCGAGACCAGCCTGGCCAACATGGCAAAACTCTGTCTCTACTAAAAAATAAAAAAAATTAGCTTGGCATGGTGGCACACGCCTGTAATCCCAGCTACTCAGGAGGCTGAAGCAGGGAGAATCTCTTGAACCCGGGAGGCAGAGGTTGCAGTGAGCCAGGACTGTGCCATTGCACTCTAGCCTGAGCAACAGAGCAAGACACCATCTCAAAAAAATAAAAAAACAAACTTAATGCAACGCATTTTTTTCCTTGGGTGTTTAAGTTTTTTTGTGGTTTGGGTAAATTAGAAACAAGTTTTCTTTTTAACTGCTCCAGGACATTTGAAGGGTATAAAATTATATGCAATAATTTGTATTATAATGTTACATATAATTGTATTTAAAGATATTTGACTCTAGTTTTCAGTCTTTTATATCTTTTTCCATTTTATTATTTTGATCTACGTGACCTGTTAAACATGGAGAAACGCCTGCTGAAATCTTTCACTACAATGTGGCTTTATCAGCCTCTTGCTGTGACTCGAATAATTTTGGCTTTCACATATTTCAATGTTTATGACATCAGTATCTTCATTTTAGGTTGAGAAACAGGAGTGGGACATGAATGGTCACAGTGTGCTAGGCAGCAGGCTCCAGTGTGACAGCTGTCCCTCCCTTGGTCATCGAGGGTGCCCGGGGCTCTCCGAAATGCCCTCCCAGTGCCCTGGAATCTTCAGATGTCTGCCCATCTCATCCCTACAGCCTCTAACATCTTGTGTCCAAATAAAATAAGCGTCTTTGCCCACTGGACAGTAGGAACTTTTCTTTGGCGACACTGACAATCCTACTTCTTGGCTTTGCAGAGCGTCTCCGCCACCGCTTCTTTCAGGTTTCCCATTCATTTCAGCTTGTTTTCGTTACATCATATTTAGGCAGCACATTCTTCAGGAGCTACTGATTGGGAGTCAACATATTTTCATCCTTGACGTTCACTGGTGATAAATCTTTTATCTATTTATTAATACTATCCCCACTCCAAAACGAGTCTGGATCTTTGGTGAAGAAATCTTTGAATTTCTTGATTTGAGGTTTTAGACTCTAATTTTTATTTGATGTGTCTGTGTTTTGTATTTTTTTTTTTTTTTTTTTTTTTGAGACGGAGTTTCACTCTTGTTACCCAGGCTGCAGTGCAATGGTGCGATCTCGGCTCACTGCAACCTCCGCCTCCTGGGTTCAGGCAATTCTCCTGTCTCAGCCTCCTGGGTAGCTGGGATTACAGGCACGTGCCACCATGCCCAGCTAATTTTTGTATTTTTAGTAGAGACGGGGTTTCACCATGTTGGTCAGGATGGTCTCGATCTCTTGACCTCGTGATCCACCCACCTCGGCCTCCCAAAGTGCTGGGATTACAGGTGTGAGCCACCACGCCCGGCCGTTTTGTATCTTCTAACAATTTTTATGTTAATTTTCAGTTGTATTAGTTTCATCTTTCATCCTCACTGCTTTTCCAACCTATCACTTCCATTCTTGTGTTCTGTATTTTGATTCATTTCATAAACAAGTAAAATTTTACAAATTGCTTTTTTGCAAGAAGAATAGTAGACAGCGTATGTTTGTGAACACCCTTCTGCTATCCTCCAAATACGAAAGCAGCTGGGCTGGTGGAAAATTTCAGCGTCACATGTTCATCCTAATTCTCAATTTATTCCTGTGCTCGCACCCCCATCCCCACCACCTTCCCAAGACTTCTGGCATTTAATATCTTGGTGAAGGTTAGCAAACGACTTCCCTTTGTAAGTAAGGTAATTTTTTAAATCTCAATGTTTGCAGGAGTTTTCTTCCTCTCTTCAAATTTAAACAGGTAAATAAAACAGACTACATCTAGGTGTGAGTTTCTTTGAAATTTTTGTCTGGTATTCATTGAGCTCTTTCACTCGAAAAACCCAAGTTTTTGTATTTTGGGAAAATTCACGTTTCTAATTCACTGACTTGGATTTCTGCAACCCTAGCCTGCTTTGTGCTGACCCTCTTTATTAAACACTACCTTCCCCACCTCAAATAACTCATTCTCAGACATGCAGTACAGCCTGGAATCACCTAGAGAAGAGATACCAAAGATTTTCTGAACCTTCTCCTCCTTATCAGAAAAACTCATTTCCAAAGGAGGACATTCGTTCTCATTCCTTCCTTTGGACCCTTTTTCCTCTTCTTTCTTCTTGTCTGTCTTTTTTTTTTTTTTTTTTTTTTTCCTGTTTTGCTAGCTTTATGGAAAAGTGTCTATATTTGGATTTCTCCAAGATGCTATGGGTCTCTGGTCAAATATTTCGGGCTTATCTAGAGAAGAAAAAAACCTTTTCAATGTGCTGTTGTCTCCTCTTATTGGGTGAAACGATATTTCTCTAGAAAAACTGAGGAAATACACATGTGGGGGGATGGCACGTTTGGGTGGCCTTGGGAGCCAAGAGCGGGAAGCTCCCCCATTGTGCTGAGGGGTCGTTTTTTTGTTGTGTGCTGACAACCGGACTTGGTGCTGTGTTGGGACTTGCTGCCGTCACAGGAGGCAGCTCCAGCTCCTGGAGGCTCTGACCTTCCACCAACATGCTGGCATCAGGAGGGCCGAGGTGGGCTCCCTTCCCTCCTGCCACAGGCCTATCTGTCCTCACCTCGGGGCTTCACTGTCTTCAGCTTGTTAGCCCCAGGCAGACACAACCGAGCTTCCCTCCAGCGGCAGAGTTCCCCCTGCTTCCTCTTCACAAGCCAACTGGTTTCTCCCCTCCACTCATCCTGACTCCAGTGTATCTTGTCAAAATTCCTTGACCACATGAACATAGAATCTTTCTTCTGATTTGGGAACCAACAAAGATCTTTCCAAATTTTATATTTTATTAATTTCAGTGGTAATCTGAGCAGGACGGTGAGGCAGCCGGACATGCCGGCTCCATGTGGCACCTGAAGTTAGAACCACACCATCTCCTCTATCAGCAGTACTGACATAGGTAGACAGCCTAATGACCAGCAGAGATGATCAATCACATGAACTCTACGCACGTGACAAAAAAGACGTAGGTTATCTAATAATCTGGAAATATGTTCATCATAAACTGTCACGTGAAAAAAGTAAGCTCCTGTGAGCTCAATTTCATGTAAAAAAAGAATACATATGTGTAGAAAAAGATAGAAAGAACACACTTTAAAAAGTTAAAAACAGTTATATCCACGTGGTAGGACAGAAGATCATTTTTGTTTTTCTTTTTTTACTGTGTATTTTGATTTTAAAATATGGTCCTCTGGATTGAATCACAACTTTTTACAGAGACATGTCTTGGCTTAATAAAACCAAACAGCACCATGGAATAACAGGGCTCATTTGTTCCAACTGCTCACATTTTAACTATGAGCTGCCAGGCCCCAGGTTGGTTACCCTGGGCAATTGATACGTAAGAGGCAAGGCCAGCAGTAGAGAGAATTCATTCCAACTCACGTATTTTTATACCCTGCCATGGTTACTCAAAACTCACCTTCTGTGGCCCCTTCTTTCTAAGAGTGGCAACTATATACCCCACAGTCTCAAAACCTCAGTGCCGTTTGGAAACTTACACGCACTGATCCCTGCAAACATTTCAGCAAACCGAGGATCTCTTTCCTGGGAGAAGATTGCATCTGCCTTTTCCACGGACTTCCCGGCCTCGTGAACACCGGTTGGTAGGTTGGGGACTGGGACCTGTTTGTGCATTAAAACACAACAGCAACTCATGCGTAAGGCACAGAACGCGCATCCCCAGGAGCCACCAGCCCTCCTTCATCAGAGCTCCCTCCCTCTGGAATCACTGGCATTTTGAGCTGGAACATTTTATCCGGTGGGAAGCTTTTCTATATGTGAAAGCCAAGAACAGCCGGAGGGAGGGTGAACTGAAGGTCACAGCAAGGACAACAGAGTCACCCTGATTACTTTCTTAGAGAGAGAGAAATGAACAACAATCAACTTACTCTAAATATCAGAAAAAGGGGATACCATGTTGCACTTAGGAAAGGGGACAAATATCAGCCCACGTGGATCCCACCTGGCCAGCAATCAGAAGCAGTGAGAAGAGAAAGGAGGAGATGGGGGAAGGAAAGGAGACAGAGCTGGTGAAGAAGAAGGCTCAGAGCATGAGAAGAAGCGGCTCATTGAGGCAGAAGGGGACACAGACAGAGGTGGGGAAATGGCCAGGATGCCAGGGGCCAAGGCCATCAGAAGCTGCTCCTGCTGGCTTCTGAGCATGTCTGCACTAGAGTTCACGCACAGTCCTCAGAAATGTCCTTCAGCCCTTGGGTTGACTGTGGCCCCTGGTTCTTCCCCTGTCCTCACACACTCTTCATGGCTCAATTCTGTGGGCAGGAGTGACGGCAGCAGACCCCCAGGGAACCTGTAGGTCTGCTCCTTGCATTATAGTGGGTGGGGCAACAGTACCCTTTGGGCTGAGGGGGTCAAGCTCAGGGCTGAATTGAGTCCCCAGTCCATTGGGCTGGAGACAATTCCAACAGGGAAAGGGTTTTCCAGAAAGTCACCTGGGATAAGTCATACGATGACAATCCGTCTCGCTGGTGCACTTCCAATTCCGCCTGCTGTTGCTGAAGCTGCCTGTGAAATAAGAAGACAACAAAGAATGCCATGAAGAACAGAAGGGGTGACAATAGGGCTAAGCCAGGACTTTTCCCGCACCTCAGAGGCAGGGTGAGTGAGAGCTGATGGATCTCTACTTTGCTTTCCATTTTTAATTATATTATTTTATTTTTAATGCCCTAAATCAAGACTCCAGACGCTGCATTTCATGTTTAGTCTACCACACTCAACTATTTAAGAAATCAATTTTGACATGCAAAATTATTTTATGCAGGGTCAAAAGATATCACAGAACAAATATTTTAAGGCAAATTCAGAAAAGCAGTTGGGTTTAATGCTGAATGAAGCAGTTGGCTTCAGCTAACGCTTAGCCACAAACGGGCCAGTGTTTACATTCGCTCATCCAATCCTCACACTACACGTTCACAGTGTTACTCTACCCCTATATTAAAATTAAGAAACTGAAGTTCAAAGAGGTTATGTGATTGTCAAGGTCAGCCAACTGGCAAGTGGATGTGACGGAACAGAGCCTGATACTTCTGACTGACCTGATACTTCCGACTCCAAGGGGTCTGACCTGATACTTCTGACTCCAAGGGGCGTTGCTGCCTGCTCCAATTGGGGAAGAAAAAGACTTGCTGGAGGAAATGGCTGCTTTAAGTTTCAAAATGGGTTTTTTTTCAAGGGAAAGTGAACTCTATAGCTCTGAGCCTAAAAATGGGGCAAATGACGGGATCCTCTTCAATTGTAAATATCATTAACAAGGACAGGCAAAAAACTTATTAGCGGTACTATGCAACTCAAATCATTAATAGATATTACTCCCAGGCCACAAATCAATTTAAAGCATATGAACAGACAATTCAAGCAACAAATAAATAAATAAAAGGACAAATACACATATACTATATGTACACATAATCTACATATAATAACATATATATAATAGCTATGATAAGCAAGTTAGGGAAACATCTCACCATTAAAATAATCAAAATAAATATAAACTAAAACATCTTTTAAGTATAATTTTTGAACTGCTAAGCTGGTAAAAATATGTTTAAGAAGGTGGCTTTGCATTGAAACGACCATGGTCACACTGTGTTGGGGAAGTGCGTATGGCACAACCTTTCCAGAAAACAATATGGTGGACCAGGCATGGTGGCTCATGCCTGTAATCCCGGCACTTTAGGAGGCCAAAGCAGGTGGATCACCTGAGGTCTGGAGTTCGAGACCAGCCTGGCCAATATGGGGAAACCCCATCTCTACTAAAAATACAAAAATAAGCCAGGTGTGGTGATGCGTGCCTATAACCCCAGCTACTAGCGGGGCTGAGGCAGGAGAATCACTCGAACCTGGAAGGCAGAGGTTGCAGTGAGCCAAGACTGCACCACTGCACTAGATGACAGAGTGAGACTCCATTTCCAAAAAAAAAAAAAATGGTGACCCAGATGAGGGAGTATGGACTTGTTCACACTCTCCCAGGTGATCATCCTGCTGCTGGGCTGAGGTAAGGAAATTATTCAGTGGAAGGAAGGAAGAGCTACCCATGCAAAGTTGGCTGTAATGGGGAGTGACTTTGTAAATCCTGAATATTAATTTCCTGAGTGGCTATTCCACAGCACTGACAGCAACCACTGTGAAGACCGTCCAGAAACACAGGAAGGTATGACGAAAGGTGTTAAAAGGTTCAGGTGCAGCACAATATACTATGCATGCTGCGATTATGGCCACAAACATTGTGTGGTTGAGCAATATTTAAAACCAAGAAAGACAATCTCTCATGTGTCTGCATTAATTAGGAGAGTTCTGGATTTCCAGTGTTTACTTCCACTGTCTGTTTTGAAACAAGAAGGCTCACAGTGGGGTCTCCTCTGACATGTTCGTGGTCCCACTCTTTTTTTTTTAATTTTTTTTTTATTTATTTTTATTTTTTATTTTTAGTAGAGGCGGGGTTTCACCATGTTGACCAGGATGGTCTTGATCTCTTGACCTTGTGATCCACCCGCCTCGGCCTCCCAAAGTGCTGGGATTACAGGCTTGAGCCACCGCGCCCGGCCAGGTCCCACTCTTTTCACCCGTGGCTGTGTCCTGGACAGGGTGCCAGGGAACCCCATGGAGGAACTGCTCACAGGCCACCTCCCCTCATCTGGGTCTAGGATGCAGGGAGGGCTGGCTAGATATTCTGCGGGTAGGAAGTGAAGGGAGGGTGGGAGAGGAAACCTTTTGATATCTAGGGTGAGGAAGTGGCTGGTAGGGAGGAGCAGGTGTGGAAGGTGGACCTGCTCTCTTGAGGAATCACCAAGAATGCATGGCTAGAAAACTGTAACAAAACTATAAATACACTGTAACACAACCTGTAATGAAACTGTAACTGTCAGCAAAGGCACAGGCGTGGTGAGAATGGGGAGGGCCCCACCCAGGAGGAGGTGGCGTGTTGGACGGCTGTGGAAGGCAGGCAGAAGTAACACCTGCACCAGTCCCTGCGTATCTGCCGTGACCCCTGCTAGGTGCCTGCATTCATCCCAGCTCACCTTCACCTCACAGCCACCTCGGAAGTGGGTTTTTAAAAAACCCCCTTTCCGGCCGGGCATGGTAGCTCAAGCCTGTAATCCCAGCACTTTGGGAGGCCGAGGTGGGTGGATCACGAGGTCAAGAGATCGAGAACATCCTGGTCAACATGGTGAAACCCTGTCTCTACTAAAAATACAAAAAATTAGCTGGGCATGGTGGCGCGTGCCTGTAATCCCAGCTACTCAGGAGGCTGAGGCAGGAGAATTGCCTGAACCTAGGAGGCAGAGGTTGCGGTGAGCCGAGATTGCGCCATTGCACTCCAGCCTGGGTAACAAGAGCGAAACTCCATCTCCGGGGGGAAAAAAATCCCCTTTCCGCGTGAGGAAACTGAGGAGCAGAGACTCTAGAAGTTTGTAAAAACTAGATGGCAACCTCAATAGGGATGATTAAAGAAGGTTTAGGAAAGGGTCTACTTCACAGGTATGGCCATAAACGGGAGGGTGTTTACATGATTTCATCCAATCCTCGCAGTAAGCTTTCAGAGTGGTTACTTTACCCCCATAGTAAAATTACAACACTCAAGTTCAAAGAGGTCAAGTGGTTGTCAAGGTTGGTCAAGTGGCAAGTGGCTATCACAGAACAGAGCCAAGGACTGCCCCGATGCTTCCAATTTCAAGGTGCTTTGCTGTCTGCCCCATTCGGGAAAGAAAGAGCTTTTATAGTTGTTATGCAAGGACGGTGAAGAGCCCCTGGGCTAGCAACAGCAGGAAGCCAGGCCCATCCCTAGGGTAGAAGGAGCCGGGGGGAGCAAGACCTGTGAGAGTTGTGATGAGCGAGGCTGTCTAACACCGTTTCCTCCTCCACTCTTGTTCCTTTGTCTCCAGCTGGTCCCTCCGCTGGCCAAACTTAACCAGGAGCCAGAGATCAAGGGATCCCATTGGTCCTTTCCCAGGCAAACAGGCAGGGCAGAGGGTACCTGGACTGTGTGTGGTAGAAACACAACCGCCAGGCTGGTAAGTGGTGAAGACTGAGCAAGACTAGATTTTCTCATTCTAAGTGTAGGCTGTTTGGATGACACGAAAGATGCGTTGCTATTTACCGACTCTTCCCAGCTCGTAAGAGCCAAATGCACACAGGTGATCGGGTCCACAGCTCTCCTCTGGTAACAGCAATCCCTGGTACATCACTTCTTTTGACAGGCAACTGGTCAGTCCCTGCTTGACTTTCTCTGCTAGAGAGCTCACTACATTTTGAGGCAGCCTGCTCTATCTGCAGACAGAAATACTTCTAAAAAGCCTGACACCTAAAGAGCCCAAATGCATCTCGCTGTAACTTTCACTGGGGAACAACTTTTGCCCCTGGAGAAACATAAAATAAGTTGGATTCTGTTTATAAACTATTTTTCTCAGCCTTGCAAAAGATGTATGGTTTGAATGCCATTTCCTCCTCTGGCCATGCCTTCTGTGTCGATGGCTCTGGTGTGAATGTGTCCCCACCACAAAGGAAGGTCTCCTTGAAGGGAACCCCAGTTGGAGGACCCGGAGAACATTCTGTTTAGAGTTCAGCCCAGAGGAGTCATTCATTCAGTGAACTGTACTGAACTGTATTGCCAGGCACTGGATAGACTGATGACTCGGAACCCACAAGATCCCTGCCCTCATGCAACTGACAGTCGCCAGAGGAAGACACACGTGGGCAAGCAATTAGAGTGTGGTGAGTTAAGACTACAATGCAGGAAGAACAAGGATCTATCCGAGTGGACAGTCTGCCTCCTAATCTTGGTGTGGGAGCCCAGAACAAAGGAAAGGATGAAACCAGAAGCATGTGAGCTCCCACCAAGCAGTCTCAACCCACACTTGCTAGACCAGCAAAGTAGGAGCACTAGAAATCATTTTCTAAACAAATTGATATTTCAGAAATTGAAAAAGGAATTGGCTGGGCGCCTGTAATCCCAGCACTTTGGGAGGCTGAGGCGGGTGGATCACGAGGTCAGGAGTTCAAGACCAGCCTGGTCAAGATGGCAAAACCCTATCTCTACTAAAAATACAAAAATTACCCAGGTGCTTATAATCCCAGCTACTTGGGAGGCTGAGACAGGAGAATCGCTTGAACCCAGGCAGCAGAGGTTGCAGTGAGCCAAGATCGCGCCACTGCACTCTAGCCTGGGTGATAGAGTGAGACTCCATCTCAAAGAAGAGAAAAAGGAATCAATATAATCAACAGGAAAAAAAGTGCATGACTTTCTATATCTTATTCTTACTTCACAGCTTTTGTTTTGTTTTGCTTTGATCGACACCCTGGGGGCACCATCACCTTCCACTGAACGTAGGACTGATGGCCGCACTTCGTCAGCGTTTTCACATCTCTGCGGTATCCCCATTTGAGAGATAAAGCAACTGAGGCGTAATGATGAAAGTGCAGATGGAAGTGTCGGGGTCTGAACTAACCGTGTCAGAGTAACACGATTAGAATAAAAATGAAGCATCCAGCGTGACGCGGCTAGA